GAGAGAGAGAGAGAATGCGTGCGTGTGTGCATGTGTTTTTATGCGTGTATGTGTAGATATTTTACATTTTTATATTTTTTTTACTTATTTTTGCATTATATTTTTAATTGATATATTTCTTTGAATTTTTTTGTATATGTTTTCTGTATTTATACATTACCATTTTTTTCACCTTTTATACTTCTATTTTGATGTTTCCTTTTTTAATATTCTCTTGATATTTCTTTTTTTCATAAAATATGTGTACAACTTTTTCCAAAATAAAATAAAATATTATTATTCTTTTATTTATAGATCCTCAGAAGATCTTGTCCATCGTCTTTTTGTTTGCATAGCAGGCGTGGCAGATCAATTGCAAACCAATTTTGCATCGGATTTGCGGAATATTTTGAAATGCGTTTTTCTTATGAATAGTAGTCAAGCAGCAGAGGACACCGAAGGATCAAAGAATCAGAATTTAGCTTCCATAATAAATACACCAACAAATATGGTGGAAACAGAAAATATTTATGAGCGGCAAGAAGCATTACCAGAATATGAAGATGTGGAGGAAACTGCTGTGATACAAGATCGAAGTACGGATATGTTGGCCTTTTTATTCGTTGTCTTATTACACATATGTTTGCTCCTTGTTAATATCCGAATATTTTCAAAATTTGATTTTTTCAGAAAATATTAATAACAAAATGTTTATTAAATTTTTAACTCAAAGTTTTTTTTTTAAGTATGATCTCATATAATAAAATATAAAAGTGTAGTAAGATATAAAAATAATAAATGTGACATTATTTTAGAGATAAATGTAAAAAAAAATTATATTTTAATTTTAATGTAAAACATAATGTAATTTAAAAATTTTTTAAACAAATAATTGAAAGAGAGAAGCATGTAAGCTGAATAGAATCCTAGAAAAGTGCTAAGTTGTAATATGTAAAAATAATAATATTAAAAAATACAGACATTGTTTCGATCTTAGATCAATATAAAATCTTTAGTAAAATAATATATGATTTTTTTTAAATTAAAATCGCTGCAAGAAATATAATTGATTAAAATAACATCAAATTATACATAATAACAAAAAAATATATATATAGATACAACAGAAATCTCAAAACGAAAAAAATCATACAATTAAATTGTATTCAATAGAGCTTTTCTTTATTTAATTCATTGAAATGTGATGTTGAATTCCAAAAATGCTCGATTTTATCTTGATTACAAAAAATCTTCACCTTCGTCATACATACATAAATTAAATAAAAAGATAATTAAGAATTAGAATCATGAGTATTTTATGGACATAAAAGAAGTTGTCTTGTTTTCTAATCAACGATTAGAGATAAATTATGAATTTAATTGGGATAATATAAAAATTGTGGACAATGAACCGTCCTGTAAAAGAATCTCTAAAATGATACACATAAAGAAATAAGCAGTTGTTTATCTGAACAAGTAGAACGATATGGATATTTTACTTGATAGTTAATTTTCTATTCTGAATTTTCTATTCTGAATTTACCATCCTTTATCTAATGTT